GCTTGTTACAGACTATAACTTCAATTGTATTGCCTCCTATTTAATTAATGATTACGTCATCCACCTGACAGTGTCTTTGTTCATTTACATTTTATTCAGCACATACTGCAATACTATGTTAAGGAATGTCTCATTAGTATCGCAAAGTCAGGCATAAGAAGTGAATGTGATTGCACCGGATTGCCCTTATTTTCCCGGCGTATTGTATTTGGCGCGTTTTTTTTAAAGTATGGTTCGTTGATCTGACGATGTCTGTCATCGCAAAACAAACGAAAGCTTAGCACAAGTTTGTTGAGATCGAAAGACGGTGAACCGAGGTCTTATTCACACAATCCAACCGACCCACTACTCCGAACAAATTATTCTTAGCTTTCCGATGAGACCCTTCCAACAAACTTTTCAATCAAAATGTAAAATCATGTGATAATTAGGCATATAAATTTGAGGCCAATTTGACCAGGACTCTCTTCAAGAGATGCAGCAAAGACCAGAGAAAGTTGGTTCCCAGTAGACAGGTTTGATGATAGATATGTTCATTGGAGTAAAGGCTCGATCAAGAGATTTACCCAGTATACAAATCAAACCGAGAGGAAGAAAAATATACTATTAAACTGTAAAGGTTCACTGTCGATGTGAGCGTAACTTATGGGAATGTACCGAGTCCAAGGTTCCACGCTATAAACTACCAGCCCACTACGGCGTTTATCTGAGCCATTGACGATACGGTCAAGTTGCGAAACCGAAGTGAAGCCGCTTCTTTCGGTCATAAATTTGACTTATAGGCTCAGTTGTAAAAGAAAAAATGGCAACAAAAAACCTTGCCTGGCGGTATAATTGAGCAGAAAGCCCCAGATACCGAACTGACTGGTAAGACCAGGTATTCGGAGTTGTTCAGATTGCGGCCGGCCTGATTGAAAGCAGCGCTGTTCTCTCGGCGGTCCAGTCGTAGTTCAGGACTGGGCAAAGTCTGAAATGACTCGTCCAGCAATGAGCCACAAAGAGAAGCTGGCCAAAATATGATGAAATGGGACAGCATAGAAAATTATTAAGCTTCATGCATTATCTGAAAAGATGCTAATGTAAGATTAACAAAGCACACATACACACATACAGACAGAAGAGTAGCCCATTTTATCATTCACAGCCTACAGGATGCCATAAAGTTATAGAGTTAATGAATATTAAAAATCAAGGCAAATTTATTACACCGGACGTAGAGGTCAGCAGCTGGAAATTATAGGTCCTGGTCACACACCAGCAGGATACCTGGCAAGTATAAATAGGCAGTAGTTTTCGCCCAGAAGAATACTCGAAAATAATATTATTTGTGTAGAGATCAGTGGCTCAGGGTCAGCATCAAACTTACGAATCTAGTTGTTGGTGAAGAAAGAG